TTGCTGCTTGCCTTCTCTCTCGCTGGTGAGTTTGTCTTACTGCTGTAGACTGAAGACTAGCTGATATTTTGGAATTTGTCAGACCTTCAGCACCGGATTGGGACTACTGAGACATCCAGCCTTGTGGACTGAGCGACTACAGATTCTCAGCCTCTCCAGTGTGGTGCAGCCTTGTTGGACTACTCGGACTCTATCCTGTGAGCTAAGCTGATAAATCTTTATATATATTCATTCTACTGGTTCTGTTTCTTTGGAGAACCCTGACTAATACACCGAATTTTTAAAATAATTTTTTTGCATATGCTGTATATCTGTGTCTCCGTGGTATGTGTGTATGTGCATGTGTGTAGATCAGAAGAGGCATTCAGTGTCCTCGTCTATCATTCTCTGCCTATTCCTTTGAGAAAGGGTCTTGAGTTTTCCTGGCTAAGCTAGAAGCCAGCAAGCCTCAGGGATCCTCCTGTCTCCATTTTCCTTGGAGCTGGGGCTCCAGGTGTGTGCTGGATGCTAGGCTTGTTCCATGGGTGCTGGGATCTGAACTGCAGCCCTCATGACAGTGCAGCAAATGATCATTTGAGACATCTCTCCAGTCTCAGGAAATTTTCAAGTTTTTATGTTTCAAAAATTTCAATCAGGGTAATAAGCACTAAAATGTAAGAAAAATAATCTCACGGAAACATCAAGAACAGATCAGAAAGAGAACATAGAACATCATCAAGTAGGTAGCCATTATAATAACTTTGAAATAAGAACCTAACAAAGTGATGACAGTAGAAAGGGAATGGAGATACAAGTGAGAGACATATTCACTAAAACCAAAAAATCAGGAGGCAGAGGCAGGTGGATCTCTGTGAGTTCAAGGCCAGCCTGGTCTACATAGTGAGTTCAGGACAGCTGGGGGCTACAAAGAGGCCCTGTCTCAAAAAGACCAAAAAAAAAAATATTCAAATCTTGTTTCTTCCATTTCCTGTGTGACCATGGGAAACTGCTTAATATCCCTGTGGCTACCAACTCTTATGTATAAGATGGGGCAATTATCATTTCGGTTGCCTAAGGTTTTTTTCTTTTTTGATCTTTTAGAGACAGGGTCTCCTTGTAGCCCCCTGGAACTCACTACGTAGACCAGGCTGGCCTTGAACTCACAGAGATCTGCCTGCCTCTGCCTCCCGAGTGCTGGTATTAAAAGCGTGCGTCACAACGCCCAGCTGCCTAAGGTTTTTAAAAAGACAAAATTAACATCTGTGAAGTACTTAGGACATTGCCTTAAAAAACTGTGTAAATGTTAGATATAGCTACCACTACTAACAGGATAATACTGTCCAGAAAGCTATCAACACACCAAATAACGTAATTATATATGAAAAACATAAAACACTGCTATAATATGTAGATACAGATAAACTTAGCATATCTCTATCTTGCATGTTGACTGTATTATGGCAAGACCTCCTAGTATAAACACTCAGCAGCCACTTGGAAATGCAAAACTAGGCCTTGAAGAGGACAAAGAGATGAAGATTTTATAATCATGCTCAAAGAATAAACATCTGAAACTGTGGGAAGAGATATAATTTATAATTAGAGACTTACAGATGGCTTACAACTAAATGTTTAGGAACTACTGATGTTTAACTATAATTATATGGCTCAAAACCTACTTTCTTTCCAATCCCTGTTTACCAAGTCTGTGCTTATTCCTCTTGCTTGTGTTCTTACCTGGACAACAATCTCTAACGTATCTAAAATGATTAGGTTTGCTTCAGTAGCCAGGTTTCCGTCAATCAGTGCTTCATGTTCAATCTCTGCTCTTGACCTAATAATACAAAACATACAACAAGTTTTACTTATCTTTTGAAAAGCCAGAAGTAAAAAATGACTTAAAGATTCAGTAAAACAAGAACCTTTAAATTATTTAAAATATTTGCTTGAATAAAAACTTGCAAGAAAGTAAGAAAATAGGCAATTTCATATATTAGAATGTTCTGTTTCCTAAATCTTTATTCCTAGCACTGAAGCACCTAAAGGCATGCATGCTTGCTTTAGCTTTCAGAGCTGTAGCAGTGAAAGGTGCCAACACTAGGTGGTGCTATGTAGGCTTACATCAGGACTGCCTTATTTTAAAGCAACATTCAAAGTTTAGTAATCATCTTAGATTCCAAACATTTTCAGTGTATCTATTAACAATGCATCTATTACTTTATTTTTCTAAGTGTTCATCTAACTTCCTCTTGGTTGTTCCTACAAATATTCTCAGAAGACAGTTTAGCTCTTAAGTGATATTAGACAGAATCAGGCATTAGAAAAAAAAACTTGAAAAAAGAAAAAAATATGTGAGGTGAGAGATATATTAAAAGGCATGACTATAGTTATTTAAAATATTGTAAGATATATTTAAAAAATCATACTGTGCATAGTGTAAATACATGGTGGCTCACAACCACCTGTAACTCTAGATGCAGAGGATCCGACACCCTCCTCTGGACTCTGTAGGCTCCAGTATGCATGTGGTGCACATAAAGTCAAGTAGGCACACACATATGCATAAAAAGATAAATAAATAAATAAATAAAATTTAAAGGCTGTTTTACTCTTCATTGTCCTTTTTTGTATCTAGCACAAAGTGAGTATTCAATAAAAGTTTAGTAAGTAAAAGTTTTAAAAATATATAAAGCATTGTACTATAACAAATTCTTTCCTCAAATATTTTAAATCTAAATTTAAAGTTAAAATATTAGTATTTTATCTTTTAATATAGGAATGCCGAATAAATACAAAATAAAACTCAAACTAATGAATTTCCTTTTGCATTTAAAATGCAGCCACCCATTAGAAGCACAGCAGGCTATAGTACTTGTCAAGCTTCTCCGTGTTCTGACGCCAGTGTGTCATATCCTTTCTCCACCTCAGGTTTTCTTGGCTTCCAAAGGCACTTCCAGATGGGCTTCTCTCTGCCAAACAAATTTTAAAACCAATTTAAAAATGTTATTTCAGCTGGACTACATAAATGTATATTTGAAAACACAAGAAACACTGTATATCATTCATTTTATGTGTATCAATTTTTTTTTCAGTAAAAGTCTAGTACTAGACAGTGGTGATTTTTTTAAAACTTTTTTTTAGTGTTTGTTCTTTGAGATAGCATTTCCCTATAGTTCCATCTGGCCTGGAACTCATTATGTAGACCCTGATTTCACAGAGATCCACCAGCCTTTCCTTCCCAAATGCTGGGATTAAAGGGGTGCATGACCACGCCTAGCTTGACAATAGAGATTTTTTTTTTTTTTCCTTTTTGAGACAGGGTCTCCCTGTAGCCCCAGCTGTTCTGGAACTCACTATGTACACCAGGCTGGTCTTGAACTCACAGAGATCTGCCTGCCTCTGCCCCCCCAGTGCTGGGATTAAAGGTGTGCGCCACCACGCCTGGCATGACAGTAGTAATTTTTATTTGAACGTTTTCACAATAATTAAGAAAGAAATATTTGATAAACACGATATGTTTTTTTTTGGGGGGGACCCTTTTAAAGGAAAGAAAGGGTCAAACACAGATTTTCTTGTAAGGACTACATGATAACACCTCATTTCCTCCACTGTACCTTGTGCTATGCCATTAGGTAATCAACTCTCCTTGCTCTCCCTAATGGTATAGTTTGGGTAGTTTGACTACATATGCTCTTGATTAGAACTTGGTGCAATGATTATCTGGGCCTTTTATTTGATTAGTTTGCCCACAAATTTTCAGTGGGCAATCACCCATCACCTCTTCAGAAGGGTCTTCCCCTACTCTACAAGACATCCTTGCCAATGAATCTGCTCTTTTGCCACCCACAGCATTAATTAACAATTTAAAAAACCTTATTTGCTCTGGAAATTGTTATTGAATATGTTAATGCTGTAATGAAATGCTTCTAATCATGTGGTTATTAAACAATTAAAAAAAAAACCTTATTTATTATTCTTTTTATTTTATGTGTATGAGTGTATCGCCTCCATGGGTGTAAATGCCCGTTGAGCAATGCCTCTGGAGATGAGAAGAGGGCATCAGATCCCCTGGAACTGGAGTTACGAATGGTTGTTAGCCACCATAAGGGTGCTGGGAATTGAACCAAGGTCCTCTTGGAGCAGCCAAGTGCTCATAACAGCTGAGTTATCTCTCTAGCCCCAATAATAATAATAATAATTATTTTTTGGTCTTTTTGAGACAGGGTCTCCGTGTAGCTCCAGGTGCCTGGAACTCACTCCGTAGACCAGACTGGCCTCAAACTCACAGAGGATCCACCCGCCTCTGCCTCCCGAGTGCTGGGATTAAAGGCCTGCGCCACCACGCCCAGCAGCCAATAATTAATTTAAAAAATACTTTATTATTTACTATTACTTTATGTGTACGAGTGCATTGCCTGCATGCATGTAAGTGCACCTGTGTCATGTAGTGCCTGTAGAGAACACAAGAGGGTGTCAGATCCCCTGGAACTGGGGTTAAGGATGGCTGTTAGCTGCCATGTGGGTGTTGGGATTCGAACCCAGGTCTTCTGTAAGAATGGCCAATGCTCTTAACCACCGAGCCATCTCTCCAGCCCCATAATTAATTTATAATGATTTATTTATTTTCAGTTTTGTCTTTTTTGAGACAGGGTCTCCCTGTGGCCCCAGCTGACCTGGAACTCACTATGTAGATCAGGCTGGCCTTGAACTCACAAAGATCTGCTTGCCTCTGCCTCCCAAGTGCTGGGACTAAAGGCATGTGCCACCTTGTCCGGCAGATTTATTTATTTTTATTTGTACAAGTGTTCTGATTGCTGGTATGTTTATTTGTATGTGTATACTGCCCACAAAGTCCAGAAGGGGGCAAGAGCCACCATGTGGGTGCTGGGAGTTCAACTCAGGTTCTCTGGATGAACAACAAGTGCTCTTAACCCCTGAGCCACCTGACCAGACCCAATTATATATATAATATATATGTATATGTATATGTATATGTATATGTATTTTTTTTTTAATTTGGTCTTTTTGAGACAGGGTCTCCTTGTAGTCCCAGCTGGCCTGGAACTCACTATGTAGACC